ATATCAGTCAGTGAACGTAACTGTGATATTATATGTACATGTACTTTCCTTTCTAGAGGTRACTTTGCTATTAATAGTATTTAATGGTCAGATGATGATGTTAATGAGGTCGATCGACGACAAAATATTAATTAACTCCATTGTATTATATTTCATGAAGTAAATAAATAAATTACATCAATATATACATGCATGCATGGATGCATGAGTGAGCCTGGACAATAATCCAAGCAAATGTCACCCGATGTATGGCAATAAGTTCCATATGCTGAACCTGAGAATGAAGATCCTTTTGTGGAGCCCCCGGCACGTGATTCAGAGGAAGTATCAAGTGAAGAAGATGATCAACCCGTCGTCGCCAGTAAATGATTCTCCCTTCACAAGCGCAGTCTCACCAAGCCCACAGTTTCAATCTTCTGCGCTGCTAACGCCACCATCCACTATATCTCAACCCAGAAAAAACGAAAGAGACCCCCCCCCCCCCAAAAAAAAAAACAACTGAAATAAATGATTACGTTGTTGTTGCTTATTTTAAAATGCTGATTAAACAGGAGCTCATTCTCCCAGCAGCTTCGTGCCATTTTCGGTCAGCTACGGGCCATCCGGACCATTTTCGGGCCATTTCCGGTCAATTTTGGGCCATTTCCGTTCAGCTTCGGTTCATTCGGACAGCTTCGGGCCTTTCCGGGCTTTTCCGGACCTTTCCGAGCCTCTTGGAAGTTTTTTCAAATAATAAATGCCACAGAAGTAAAAGTGAGATGTAGTTATGATTAGTTAGCAATATAAAAATGTTAAAAATCATAATTTTTGGTTATTGAAAACTCCTTTAGCAGAACAAAGGTAATCATTAACCTTTTCTTCACTGGATAGTAATTTATGCAATCGTTGAACCTTGACATAAAACTTTAACAACATTGCATAATTAGATTGCCAGCAGCAGGTTATATTACTTGCAAGTCAGTCAGAGCGCATAGTAACTAACAGACCAGATTGAAGCAATAAATAACCGCTTGCGCAGAACAACAGAGAACAAAAAGACTATTGTTCGGAGATTAAGTGAAAGGCCCACAAAGATGAATATATATTAGCCCACAAATATTCATGAGGGCCCACAGATTTTCACCACAAATTCCACAAAAACTGGGTCCCAACTCCCCCGCTAATAGAAGAACAAAGGGTGACGTCACGGAATATATTATATTTTACCTCACCCTATTCAGCTGAATAGGTGACGTCACTGAATGTATTAATAAAATCATTTTACTCGAATCAAGCGGTCCTCGATTCACCTCGATCCTCACCAGGTGTTGCTGGTGCTGCCTTTACTACTTGTGTTGATGATTTCGAGTATTATTCATATGAAACTTATGGGGGACAAATAGTCCGTGATCACTCAAGCTTGACCTGACAGTCCGTATGAAGTGCCAAATTTGACGAAAAAGGCCAGATTTCAAGGCTTTTTGAAGAAATGCGGAGACATTAAAAACAATCCTAAAAACCTAGCACCGGATTTAAGAAATAAAATATATATGTGACCTTTCTGGGTATTTTTCGTGAGAAAATTCGAAAATCCAATCATGTATTTTTGCCCTTGAAGAGTTGAAGTTGAGCATTAAAATAGTATGGCGATCCATGTTTTCACCACAGTTCGCTCCAAAAAACTGGGCCTCGCGTATAACTTATTTTGTTAAAAAACCTAGCACCGGATTTAAGAAATAAAATGTATGTGTGACATTGCTGTGTATTTTTCGTGAGAAAATTTAAAAATCCAATTATGTATTTTCGCCTTTAAAGAGTTGGCGTTGCTTCGCATCCGTTTGCGTTTCGGGATTCCTGTCCCGACGATGAACGGATGCAAAGGAGACTACTTCTGTAGGCACAAGCAACAAAAATCAAACTTGAATTTTTCAAATTATTGCTTTCTTATTATATGTTTAGAATGTAGTCAAAACTATGCAGTTTTGTGTTAATTCAATATTAAGTAAGAACTAGGGAAGCAAACGGCACAGGAATGCAAGAAGGTGCTAATTGTGCATTGTATAATCCATCCATTCCATTGGTTAAAACATGAAAATCTGCTATAATTTCACAAGTTAGCGAATTTTCTAATATTTTATTTAATGTCTGTTTTCGCTTTCATGAAAGCTTTCTTTAGCTTCAATATTAAGGCAATTCTATGTGGGGAACATTGCAAATTAGAAGCATCTTTTGGCTATTGTTTTGAGTGCTTATGATTGGATAAGAGCTTTTAATACAACAGAAACTTTGTTTCAAAATAGAGTTTAWCCACATTTTATTTAAAAAATGTGTTACCCACAGATGGATACATAATCAGTGTGAAAACCAAGACATTCGTACATGGGGAACTTGATATGCCGCACAACAATAGAGAGTTCCCTAGTTTTTAAGCGCATTGTTACTTAAAGACCTGTTTAAATGCAACTAAGAAGCGACATACAGCAATACTAGAAATCAGAAGAGACAGTTCACTATCAAAAGCTGTAGTATATACATGGTACATGGTAATTTTTCGACCTAAAAATAATCCAAGTCCACGAGAAGTGATTGAAAAGTCCCGGATTTATTCAGTAAATTCTCTACGAAGCATATATATATATAAAACCATGTAGTTCGCTGGGGTTCCAGAACAGGGTTCGTTGCTCTGATTCACAGTTTATGATACAGTGGAAATTGTTCTCTAAGAAGCCTATGTGTGGATGTTTTGATAAAATTATTAGACCACAAACCAAATATGGATACGTCTTTTGTTTTTGAAACATACAGGTGAAACATGCTCGATTCGTATTGTGATCGATTCTAAAAAATATTTTTAAAAGTAGTTCGAATTCTTCAGTTCTTAATTACAATTTATTGTTTTCACAAAAAAAAACCTTGGTAGTTGTGTCGATAATTTCGAGTATTATCATGGTTTAGTTTTGAATATTTTATGACATCAATATACATTCAGTTATTTCAAACTGCCCAATGAGAGTCCCTGTAAGAAAAAGAACTACCGAAAGCCAATCAACATCTAGTATATATACATGTCACATGACAATTTTCAAGATGGCGGAATGTCATCGATCTAAAATTATTTCAAGTCCACGAGGAGTACTTGAAATGTTCTGGAATTCTATTAAATTCCTCTACGAACCATATTTATTTACTACCATGAAGTTCGCTAGGGTTCAGTGTCCAGAACACGGCTCGTTGATTTGATTCACAGACAGATTTTATTGAGGAAATTCCGAATGTAACACAGGCTAGATCTATTCATAGAATTTATAGATATAATACTAATCTTACTTGAATATATAAGGAAATATAATAACATAGTAAAATTTAAGATAAACAATGATACTACGTATAATTGAGGCTTTAAAGTTCATATTTGTGATAGTTCAAATAGGCGTGTTCAAATACGCATAAATTTAGACTCACTAAAATGGCCCACCATTTCTTGAAAAAACAAACAAACAAAGAAAATGGATGAAAATCCTACATGTTGCAGGCAAATCGAAATTGTGTCGTGTAAATCGAATGCCTGCGTGTATGCTAGCAATTGAGTATTCGGCTTTTCAAATCGTGTTCTTTGACTTCGATAACTTCCACGCAGCCAGCCAAAAGATCAACACAGCTATTCAGCTTTTTGGAGTTTTTGGCAGTAGTTTGAGTGGTTCTTAGACTATGTCTTGGATATATCCTTTAAAAGTGGCACACTTACCATTCTGTACGATTCGTTTCTCACCCGGTTCACTCGAAGGAAATAGGCTCAGCCAGGAGAAAGAAATTCCCTCGATGGGCTCAGTCCACATCAGTTCCCTAGTACCCAGTTTAACCGAGGTTTTGTTACCATGCCTACCATGTTCGCATATATTATCATCCAGCGTGTGAAGACTTGTGTCAGCTTTTAAAACGTTTATAATTGTGACTTAACTTACAGAATTTTGAATAAGCAGAAAGCAGCTTAAGCCATTTTCTTTCAATGCTACATTTGTTGAAAAAAGTGGAAAGAAATCGAAGAAAACGTTTTCGCATACGGCGGAACACAAGCTTCTAACCTTTCTCGTTTGAAGAGTTTGGTAGTAGCGGTTCGGGTCTGTCTTCATACGAGAAGAGAAAAATCTCCAAAATCCAAAAGTGGGACAACATTAAGAACACAGTTGTTCGATGCATATTTCGCGGGATGTTGTATTCCAACCGACACAACATGTGTTTACTGCCTCCAAAAACCAGCAACGCTGCGTTGTCAGTGTTGTGGCCCCAAGCAGTACTTCTGCCTTGTTTGTGCAAATATTTTACCCAGTGCGAGGAATAATTTTCATGTTTTGGAAAAATGAAATTCAATGATTTCAGCTCTGTAAATCGTTGTAGCACCGCTCTGCTGATGAGTAGTGTAGTAATCGTTTTCCATTCATTTCGCTTTTTTATGTGAAGTAGAGCATCTCTTGCTTGCTTCTTTCGTTGGAAACATTGACTTTCTTAATTTTTCAATAAAGATTCCAAGCAATCTCTATGATGTCGATGGAAAACTCTGATCCAAGCAACTATCTCTATGATGTTGATGGAAAACTCAGGAATGGTTGTTGTTTTTGTCTTTATCAATCACGATGAATGTTACTCTCAATTTAAAAGAGATTGTAACGCTCGTGGTAGTATAGTGGTCGTTAATGGTGTAGTTTCTTTCTGCTTGCTTATGAAAGTTTGAAAGATTCTGAAATATTTTGTACCTTCCTAATCTATGATATTTTATGATACAGTGGGTATTGTTCTCTAGGAAGCCTATGTGTGGATGTTTTAATAAAATTATTAGACCACAAACCAAATATGGATACGTCTTTTGTTTTTGCAACATACAGGTGAAACATGCTCGATTCGTATTGTGATCGATTCTAAAAATAAAAATAGTTCGAATTCTTCATTTCTTCATTTCAATTTATTGTTTCCACAAAAAAATCCTTGGCAGTTGTGTCGATGATTTCGAGTATTATCATGGATTAGTTTTGAATATTTTATGATACAATAGGTTAGTTTTCACAATGGCTAAGATATTATTTCTTTGTTCTATTGGTCATCGACCCAGCATGGATCTCATAGGTTTGCTGTTTGTTCGGGGATTCTTTAATCAAAACAATTGCAAGGAATAAGTTCGCAACTCTTCGATTCTTTGAGTTATCTTGGTAGACAAGTAAGTTAGACAAGAATTGTGTATTGAAGAAATTTTTTGTGTAAAATACTCGTTTCGGATGATGGCATCTCTCTAGGAAACTAATATTTTGAGTAACAGTGACAAATGACGTCACGGCGATATTTTGGCATTAATGTACATAATCTTGCTATGGCATTTTCTACTAGATATACCTATTGTAATGTTTTCAAGGGTTTGGCAATAGTTGTTAGTGTATTAGAGGAACCGATGTGTCGTGAAGTGAAGATGGTCGGAGATTTATTATAATCCTTCATGCTATCTTTTGTACCTCATATCAGATAAGGTGCTGATGGAAGACTGATATTTTGGTGGTAATTTCTGAGGTGTTGATTCGGACTGTTATTTTAAGATTTAGCAATATGTATTGAGGCTAGGGCTCTTCTCTAGTTGCGCTAGGTTTCAGTTACACACTGGTGGGAACCACTTGTGAGTTGCTGTCAGTACGAGTTGTCTAAACTATGCATACGAAGCATATCTATGGACACAGTGAGGTACAGACCTTTCTCATGAGCTAGAATCATGATGAAACGTTTATGGAGAATTTCATGAAAACATATTTTTTGTTTCTGGCCTTTCCTGGCTCGAAGTGATGACAATAATGATGCCTTGAAAAATGCCTTTACTACAACTTTACTACTAAAACTCCTTGAGTTTAAAAATTTGGATTTTCTTTCTTGAAAAGTCCTGGAATTTTTCCCTCAACTCCCTTGAATATTAGGAATCAGTTTCTCAGGCGATTGGGAGCTCACTGGAGCAAATAAAATCGGCGAGTAATTTTCGATGATTTAACTCTATGACACAAAAACTGTGTTCTTCAGTGTGCTTCTGGTTTGTTAGGGAGCATT